ACCAAATCTATATGATCTATCCCACCCTTATTGACTTAGGTCTTATGTGTATAGTTAAACACTATCACACACAGCTCATTCCTAGGATATATATCTAAAACAGTGCCTCTACAGGTAGGTTAAACTTTTCCTACAGAGAACATTTCTGGAGACCTGCTCGGTTGCCATAACAGGACACTGTTACTGTCACCTAGAGAAAGAGATTACTTTGCACCTTACACAGAGGACTCTAGTTCTAAAAAGTAGTGTCCAATATAAATATCAAAAGTGGCACATCACAGAAAATGTGCAGAAAGCAAATGTTTGATTAAGGTGCAAGATGCAAGGAAGAATAAAATATGAGAATGACAGAAAGTGTCACAAGAGAATGAAATAAATGTGGAAAATGACAGGAACATCCTAAGATGGACAGATAAGTTGAGAATCTCTACCACTGTCCTGTGTCCTGACATGCCTCACCTATATAGCGTGGCTCTATGCTCATCTGTGTTCTCAGAAAACCTGCACTGGAGACCTTAAAGGGATCATGGAGAAAAAAACGACAACTGCTTAAATATGCACAGACATTTTACTAATAAACTTAACAATTACACTGAGCAAAAGCTAATGGATGGAGGCTAGAAATCTCATACAAATTTCACATTAGCATCAAAGAAAAGAATAAAAAAATCTATGAAAATAATTTTACAAAGTAATAGGAAGGTCACTTATGCAGTTTCATTTAGTCTTGCTTTAGGATCTTTGCAGTAGTGTAGACTATGTATTTATGAAATATTCTGTCAACAGCCAGGTTTTCTAAGAAATGGGCACTGATGGTTAATTTTGCATACCAGTTTAACTCGCTGTGGTGTGTGCCTGTTTCATCAAACATAATCTTGAGGTCCCTGTGAAGGTATTTTGTAGATGTGATTCCCATTTACAACTGATTGGCTCTAACTAAAGGTAATTGCCTTTGGTGATGACTTCATTTAAAGGCCTAAGAACAAAATTGGTTTTGCACAGAAGAAATAAAAAATAAGTTTTAAAATTATACCAAAAACTCTGCCTGAATTTCCAGACAGTGAGGCCGACAGTCATATGAGCTATTTTCTGAAAATCCATCTGGTATACAATAGGTTGATAGACAGATAAGATAAAGGGAGCTAGGCTTAGAGGGAGGGAGGCAGGAAGAGAGAGAGAAAAAGAGAAAGAAAGAGAGACAGAGAGAGACAGAGAAGAGCAAGATTATCTCCATATACCAAAATATTTTCTGAGGAATAAGTTATATTCAGATGTATCAGATATCTAGAAAAATATTGTTGTAACAAGATAAGTCCAACAGCAAATATTTATTTCTCACAGTCCTGGAGATGAGGAGGTGCAAGATCAAGGTACCAGCCCACTGAGTTCCTGGTTTGCAGGACTCAAACATCTGTTTTTCAGATGTGACCTTTTCTCTGTATCCTCACATGGTGGAGACTGGAGACAGGAAGCATATCTTCTCTTTTTTATTAACACAAATCACAACACAAGTGCCTCCATTTTCCAAACCTAACTGTACCCTAAATGTTTCTTCTCCAACTACTATAACAATTGGCAGCAGGATGTGTGTATATGAGTAGTGGCTATAGATATTTATTTCAAAGTATGTGATAATTGAATGCCCTATTCTAAAGACGTTTACATCTCTTCTGAACTGCCAACATGCCACCAGACACTCTGTTAATAAAATACTGTGTTCTATAATTTCCTTGCAGAAAAAGATGAGAGTTCAGATCCTCTGCTCAGGAATGTTACTAATTTGTTATGGTGAGTGGATTCTACTCTGCATGGCTAGCTCAATATTTCATTTCTTATGTTTTGAATCATAAGAAATGGACCCATTGAAGAAACTGATAAAATGTCCCTTCAGAAATATTTCATTCTCCAACTGATATTTGTTATAAACTGAGTATCTGTGTCTCTCCAAAATTCACATGTGGAAATCCTAAGTCCCAATGTGATGATATTGGAACCTGGAGTCTTTCACAACTGTCTAGGAGGCCCTAGAAAGCTGCTTGCTTTTCTCACTGTGGGAGAGCACGTTGCTGCCACCGTCTGTGAGCCAGGAAGCAAGGTTTCCCTGTGCACTGCATCTGTCAGGGCCCCGGTCTTAGATTTTGCAGCCTTCAGAACCAGGAAGTGAATTCTTGTCATTAATAGAAAGCCATCCACTCAGTCTGTGGTATTTTGTAGAGCATCCCAAGACCTACAGCACTCACGACTAGTGTAACCTTTAATAACGCATATTTATTTCATATTCTTTTTTCATCCAGGCTGTCAGTTTTTCTCTGTTCTATAACTTCATTAAAACACTATCTCTACTGCTAATAATGTTAACTTTGGTCTGTTATTCTTAATATTAAAATTGTTTTGCTTTTTATTATCAAAAAAACTTAATAAATCATTGTAGAAAAAGTTTAAAAAAAATACTCTGTTCAAAAATTCCACACTAATGAAGAAGGCCTTCATCACACAGTTTTGATGTCTCCAAAGACAGGAGGTAAAAGTGAAATTAGAAGTTAGATGGCTTAAAGTGGCTCTTTCTAGGCAGAGTAGTGCTTTGGATTGGTGGGAATAGCAGACAGAGGATACAGAAATACATACTGTGATACATAAAGCACTGCTCAGTAAAGGGCTGCTCACACACTTTCATGCTATGGTCTTTTTCCAACCAGTTTCCTGAAATGAACAATGAGGTCATATTGCCGCTGAGCATCTAAAGCAAACTGCTGAGACAAATGGACTGACTTCTCATGATCTCTCCTCCTATTCTTTCTCATTGGTTAAAGCATTAAAAAAGTGAGGAAGAACACATTGATGAGAGATGAGGTAGGGGAAAAATATTTAAAGGAACTCATGACGAAGCTCCTCCAAAGCAAGGGTGGGCAGGGAACAAACACCAGGCCAGAAACAAGGGGACATGGACAAGCTCAGATGTGGCTCTAAGACTGTTACTTTATATTGGATTGGGCTTAGCTATTACTATTGAATTAAAATAGTCCCCACTATTTTAATATAATAGATCTTTCCATGGCATACTTTCACAGAATCCAGAATCCTTACATCAAATCGTGGCTCTAAGACGGTTACTTTATATTGGATTGGACTTAGCTATTACTATTGAATTAAAATAGTCCCCACTATTTTAATATACTAGATCTTTCCATGGCATACTTTCACAGAATCCAGAATCCTTACATCAAATATGAAGTGTAGTGGTGTGATAAAAAATGAAGCCTGTTTGCTGACTTTGTTCTATTCCTGTCATTCTGATTAATACGGTGCTTCAAACGAAAGACGAAAATTCAATAATTCTCAGCCCCTCTCATACTTAGTGGGAACTTCATCCAGTGAGTTCTGTGTATAGTTTGGCATAATGATTGACTTCTGATCCAAGAAAGAAAAACAAATTCTACTTAAGGTAGCTCATGAAGAATTCCATATTGCTGTTTACATTTCTCATGGTTGATCAGTGACTTGCTTTACTTAAAAACAGAATAAACATAATTACCATTAACATTATGTATACTTTGTACCTCTTGATTTGGGGAACATTATGGATTGACAAGTCTAGTAGGTAGAGGATGGATCTACCACCCTGCTTGTGATAGTTCATAGTGTCTTCTCTTACTCAGTGAATGAGCTTGGCAGAGATACTAAGGCAAGCTCAAGCCCGGTTTTGTTAGATGTAGGACTCCTTGGAGAGCAAACTTGGAAAACTTGCTTTTGGAGTTTTTGGGTTTTATTTTAAACTTTAGGTGTGGCAGTATATGTTTATAATTTCAGGTACTTCAAAAGCTAAGGAATTAGAGTTCCAAATTTGAGGGCAGTCTGGGCAATATTGCACGACCTCATTTAAAATAAAATTATTTTAAAACTCAGTTATAACTCAGTGTTAAAATACTTAACTGATTACGATTTATAAAATCTGGGGTGCAACCTCTAGAACCCTTTCCTCCACACAAAAAGGTTTTCTTTAACCCAATTTTCTTTCCTTCCCCTCTGCGCTTCATTGAAACCAGACACATATCACAGCGAGGTGGTTCTCCCAGACCCACCCAGCTGCCTTGCAATAGCTTCACCACCAGATCCCTTTCCTTGATAAATCTTTGTAACTGGTGCTCTTCAACAGACTCCAACTGTTGTGATACATTGGTAACATCTGTTTGGTTTAAATGAAGTGGTAACTAAATATTTTTGCTTTACTGAGTTATATGATTTTCTCCACCTCTTTGTAAAGCCTTTCCCTTTGTTCCAAACTGTATGCTTTTTTACCCAGTTATTGACTTTTCATATGATGGAAAGTTAGGATTGTATTTGTGTGAGCTTCCTGAAGGCAGGGAATGTGTGCCTTGGTTCAACATAATAACCTGTTATATAATAGGGACTTGAGAATATGGTTTCACTGAATGTCCCACTGAAAACAACATTTCTGAAGTACTTACATGAACAAATGGACTCATGAGAAGGTATAACTCTTTCGAGCTACAAAGGAGGCCATGAGATAGACCATACATTTGAATTTTCTTTTAAAGTTTCTGCTTCTTATCAAACAAAATATTAGTTAAACATATGAAACAGAGAAAAGAAAAATCTGAAGACAGATAAAAGATCAGACATATTGAGAAAATGTGCTATAAATAAAAGAAAATCGAATGCCAGAATTCATGCTGCAGAAATGTTTATTTAGAATATACTTGACTGAAAGAATTCTAGGTAAGTAATGACAGACTATCAGAAAGAAGGTGGCAGAGTGATCCAAGCCTTCACACACAATGATTCAAATGAAGCTCACCGTCGCATCAGTGTTCTGAAAGGTCACAAGTTAAGGTTACTTTGTCCTCAGAAAGTCATTGACTCTGTGGTAGATGGTAACAGTGAGTCCAAGAGAAGCAAAGGCTCAGCAATCAATCACAAATGTTGGCAAAGTAGTTGGAGTTCCATCAGTGTAGAAACCATCAAGAGACAATATGGGAGGTTCAGAAAGATGAGCCATAAAAACGAGAGCCACAGCCTGGTTGGTAATAAGATGACTGGACACTCTTGGAAGAAAAGTAAGCTGGGCGGTGGAAGCTGGACCCACCACCCACAGACTGAATTCCAGAGCTTCCAAATCCAAAAGATCCAAGACCAGAATGGCTGTATCCAAAAGATCCAGTGAAGTTTCCTCGGGAGGGACTGCACAAGATGAAATTATTTGGCCGATAGGACGTCAGGTGGTATCTTGTCCCCACAGATGGGATATAGCCTTCTTCAAGTGGCTCACCGAAGTTCTCCTGCTGTCCATTGTAGAATGAGGAGCCCAGCTGGAAGGCCTTTGGGGAGTAGAATGCATTGCTGGGGTAGAAAGAATTGTACGTGGAAACTGGGTGCCTCAAGTAGCCTCCAAGAGACTGGGAGGAGAAGTGTCCAGAGCTGCAGTTGTAAGACATATTGTCAGGAGTTCTGATTTCAGTTGAGTTGTGGTGACGAGTCTGGGAGTGTACACCACGTTCTAATCTGGGTCCTTATATACCCAGGACCTGGGTGTAGTACCAGTTTTCCATTTTAATGAGAATGCCTAATTAATTTCCCATAAAAATGAAACACTTTAACCTTCAAAGAACTTTTAAATGAAGGAATTTCATTAGTTTTCAAAGCAAGGATTCATGAAACAAAAATGCAATTTCTCAATATCTACCTTGGGTAGAATGAAAGCCACCATAATTGAATCTTTATGATAGAAGCTTTTCTTATCCCTGCCTCCAAGATGTTAGATCAATGGATGATGCAGCAGTGATTCTGCTGTGTTTAAAGCTCTAAAAATGTTTTTTATTCTGGAAGGAAAATTATGATGCTCTGAGTTTAGGAACACAATCAAAACTAGAAAAATTAAATGCTCATCATCTGACTTCTGAATGTTGTAAACCTTAAAAAGAACAGAACATATTATTCAGCCTCAGAAGATAATAAATTCTAGTTTATCTTTTATAATAAAAGTGGCAAAATTGTGTTTGTGGATGTCATATTTAAGGTGGAAATGGTCAACATGTACAGGAGTGTTTTAAACATTATATTGTAAAGTAAGTCAAATAATCCTTTTCTCTAATGCTAGCGTCTCTCTTCTTCTTTTTTTTTCCTTTCTTTTCCTGTCTTATCTCCTCTCTTTATTCTACTGGTTCTTTCTGGAAAATAAATCAAGGGTCTCTACCACTGCATTACATTGTTGCCTTGCTCACTTACTTCTTGATGGAAGCCGGTTATAAACTCAGTGAACCTGATTATCAAAATCTCACCATCCTCATAAAATCTCATTGTATTCTTGATGGTGATGATATCATTTGGAACAAAATAGCAACTATTAAATTACAGAATTTTATTGACATTCTAGCTTTTCTGCCAGGTAGAGGCATTTTTAGTATACAAGGCTAAAAAAATTAAGAAATGTGGAGAACTTCTGTCCAATGTAGATTTGTTGTCACATAAGGATCAAGGACTTGAGAACTTCATGGTTACCAACGGCCTTTCTATTTTGACAAATGGGTGGATGAGAAGGATGTGGATGAAAAGCAGAGAAGAAATGTTTTCGGCATCTCTAAGGAGGTGACTCTGTGAAGTACATATATATTCATCCTAGAAGACTATGTATCATGAGGATTTTTATTCTACTCTTCCATAAGGTGCACCATAGCTAACTGTAAATAGAGATAATAATGTTTTGGTAGAAGGAATTTTCTGTGGAACTAGAAAAACTTTGTATGACAGTCAGCCTCAGTACAAATGATATATGTTGGCAACGAGCTGAGACTAATTCTACCAAAAATTATGTATACTAGGTCAAAAATTTAAGGACAAATCCTAAATGACTGCTTTTGTTGGTAATAAAACTCTCATCGTCAGGGTTCTGGGAATATCTAAACAGGATATTGTAACTGAATTCCAGTCTGACTAAAACCAATATCTTTGCTAAACACTCTTCCAAACTGTAGACTTCATTATGAGTCTCAATATTTTAAGTTATCAAAGTCACTGAGATCATGTTTCATTTGTTAGGAGGCCTAGTTGTCCTCTGCTTCTAAAAACAAATTTTGATTTTATTAGCACTCTTAATTTTGAATTTCAAGAGATATCACATCCATTTACAAACCTCTTGTTTTATTTCTCAATAAATTTTGAATTTCAGAATATCTTCACACAGGCTTTTCACACTTTCGCAATGATTCTGAGTCTTTGGAGGCATAAGTTTGACATAAGTGTCCTATTCGGGGATAAGCACTCTGCATCCTCTTGTTTCCTAAATAAGCACAGGCCAGATAAAATCCCAGCATAGAAGTAGGGAAGTGGGTAAGAGGTCCCAACCTACCTGAGGAGCTATTGGTAAGTGATAGCTGCTAAGAGAGGGGATTGAGGAGAGTCAGTCTTCTTTAATGATGTGACTTGGGTAGGTTAACAAGGCTCCAGTGGATGGACCCCATACCAAAGAGCATTTAGGACACAAATTTGACTCAATAGGCCCTAATGTATATAAATATAATATATTTTACATGTAATCAGGTGGGGTAGTAAGGTGGGATACAAATAAGGGGGATGTAAATATGGTAAAAATGTATTGCATGAAATTCATAAAAATTCAATAAAGTCTTTAAAATATCTTCATAAATATTTAATGTACATAAATTGAAGTTCTTTGCCTATTTCAATGTCATTCTTTTTGTATAACCCCCATGGAAAATATTATAGTATCAAATATTAAACATTTCCATGTTTTCTTTCCTTAAGAACTGAAAAAAAATGTAAGAAGGCAAGCCAGAGGATGGTCTGGCATCCAAATATTCTGTACAGAACTAGAAGGGAAATACTGTTCTGTATTATGAAGCAAATCAAACAGTGCAGAAGCCGCAGCGAGATAAACTTTACCCATTTCTTCCCTTCCTCCATGCTCAGTCTTCATTATACTCTTACAAAGAGGTAGAACACAAGTCAGCGAACGCTTGAAAATATGACCCTCACTTTCAAATTTTTGTAATATTTGTCAAAAACACCTGAAAACAATGAAAGTCAAAGTGATAGATATATGCTGCCTTCAGGGGCAGAGGCAGAATCCCCTTGTGATGGCCTGTTGGCCCAACACCTCAAGGCAATTACTTTATTTTAGCATGAGAGCCTTTGGCAGATGCTGGAGAATCTATTCAGTGGGAAATACCAATTCTGAGTAGAGAGAAAAACATTGGATTGTTTCACCACACATTTTGTTACTCTTAATGCATTTTAGCATCTTAAATAATCTTTATTATTCAAAACAGCATAAAAAATAGTTTTTGGCGCACAGCACAGTGAACCCCCTACCCTTTCCCTAACACACAAATCTAACATAGGAGTTTAATATTCAGTTTCAAGAAAAAGCACAAGAAATACAGAATTTCTCAGTGTTAAGAAAAATCATTCAAACTGAGTTTCAATTTCTAAAACTCCTTGTACATCTTGCATATCACCACTGATGTTTATGGATGACACGAGTCATCAAGGAAGCTTGCCACTTTGTGGCAGCAATCAGTGTGTGTTTTTCTTTAAACGAAATGACTGTGAGTTTATCAGCTAACAACTTCGCTAGCCAGATGGCAACAATCTTCAGATTGTGCAACGGGTATCAATTATTTTTAATTAAGCTAGCTTCCCTCAGCCCAGGCACTCTACCTCTAAAGCTGTTTTCTGAGTGATCTGTAGGGTGACCTTTTGCTAAGGCAAGATGAATAAGAGCTTTGAAGATTCAACATTATTACCTGAATTGCAAGGCCACAGACATCCAGTTGTGAAACCCCACAAAAAAACCAAATATGCATGACTATGACAATATTTTCGATTCGATTAAAGCAGCAGGCAACTTGTTTTCATGCACCTTTAGGAAGACACACCCAGTGACAGGCCTGTATAAATGCCCTGATCCAAGAAGGGACATTCAAACTAAGAACGTGTGCCTCCTCAGTTCCATCTCCTCTCAACATGTCCTGCAACAGCTCCTCTAGAAACTTCTCCTCCCGCTCCTTTGGGGGTTACCTGCAATACCCTGTCTCCTCCTATGGTTCCTCTTTTCCCGGCAGTGTCTTCTACAGCCCTGTTCTCCAAACTCCCATCACCTACCAGCTGAGCGCCCCTCTCCAAAGTGGCTGTCAGGAGACCTTCTGTGAGCCCAGCAGCTGCCAGACATCCTATGCAGTTTCCCCTCGCTGCCACAGGCCCTGCCACCGTCCCAGCTTCTCTGTGTCCTGCACTCCCTGCCAGGCAATTTTCTCGGGATCTCTGGGCTTTGGGTCCGCGGGCTTCCAATCTTGTGGCTGGGGCTGGCCATCCGTGGACTTTGGATCCCATGGATTCCACTCAGTGGGATGCGGTCCTCAGGCTTTCTCATCTCTGAATCGTGGATCCAACTTCTACCGCCCCACCTACTTTTCTTCTAAAAGCTGTCAGTCTGTTTCTTACAGGCCAGCCTGTGGGTCTGGCTTCCTCTGATCATATATTGGAGAAAGTGGAAATGTAAATGATTCCTACTGCCTACTGTTTTAAGATCCACACGGCCTTTTAATCTATCCTATCATTAGTTTAGGAATTTGACTTCTACTTATTCTCATGAATTCCAGTAACTAGAAAATGTGTTCATTGAAGAGAGATACTAAACTGCTATCTTATCATTACATAGGCATGCAATAATAAAAGTGTAATTCTTTCCTAATGTATCCCTTAGACATTAGGCAGAATGCACATGCATTAAATTTTATAGTGTAGTGAAGTTGAAAGTTTAAATAAAAATATATGATTGAATATCTATATATCTTAGTAACATTACTTTCATTTTCTTGTCTTGAAAAGTGCTTCC